TTGCGTGTCCAATCAGGATTCGTAACACCGGTCGCGCTTCTCTGATAATCTAGGACTCTAGGCCTACCGGGCCCATTTGCTGGCACGAAAATTTGCCCAGGGCTGTCGATTTTTAAGAGTGTCGTCGGTGATTTTGACCTCAGATTCGTAATCAGCAACCTCGAAAACTCTCGAGTACCAATTTTCGAGTCAATCGTAGATAAGGAAAAATGTATGCTTGAAAGGGTTAAGATAATTATTCATTTTAGGAAAAACACTTCTGATGATCTTGACTTTGACATATATTGTTATAATCTTGAATGATCTTTAGAAAGTTTTAGCCGTCGCTCATTGTGTGTTAAAAAATTATTAAGAAGAAATTTATAAAATTTAATTTAGTAATTGGTTAGTATAATTTATGTAATTAAAATATTCACTTTAGAGGACCTCCGATGACTTTGATCTTGATATATGTTGTCAAAATCATAACCCTAAGTGACCTTTAGAAGATTTTAGCCATCTTTTGTTTGTTAAAAAGTTATTAACAAAAAATTTGAAAAATTTTTGACACAAACGCCACACACACTACACACACGCGCACGCGCACGCGCACGCACACGCACACGCACACACACATCATGTGGAACAATATAATATAGATAGATTTGTTTTGTCCCGTACGTAAAGATAGGTGTGGCATGGATTTTGCTTCACGCGAAAAGTCGAAAACCTATGTGGATCAGTATCTATAACTATAGACCTCGTTACACCCAGTAAACACTGTTTCTGTATAACATGGATTTACTTTTCACGCGAAATAAGAACTACTCCACACCCACCTCTGCTTGTGAGATGAAGCGAGGTCTATAATTGTATAGTTCCATAGAATTAAATCTTATTAATAATCTTGTTAAATAATATTGAATAAAATATTTAGTAAAACTTTATTATTAATAACTTCTTAACGAATAATGAATGATGGCTAAAACCTTTTGAAGGTCACGCCTTGGGTCGTTACCTTGACAACATATGTCAAGGTCATCGAAATTGTTTCTCCTAAAGTGAATTATTACCAAATTTATTGCTTTAATGCTTCTTCTTCACACACGTTGCTCTTTTTCCCTTTCCTTCAAATGGTTAATATTCTATGTAAAGTTATATTCGATCTATTAAGGAAAATGAATTAAAAAAGAAGAGTCAAAGGCATAAAAGAGAAACAAGCGAGAATAAAAGTAGGTAGATTGAGATAAGAAAGTGGTAGGCAAAAAAGAGTGATTTTTTTAGTCGACGAATAATTAATTGACAGTGATTGTAAAGCACTTAACGGATAGATACATTAGTAGATTTCTCGCGATTTTCTCCAAGTGAATAGTTTGTATGTGAATCGAGTGTGAAATGTTGAAGTGACTGCACGTTTTGTAAAAAAAAGAATTAACCAATTATTTAATCTGTTAGTCAGTGATGTGATAATGTGTCTGCATTAAAAATAACGAAAATTTATTAAAACAAACATTTATTTGAAGCTGTACGTGTTCATCGGAAAATTCATTCGTCTTTCTCAAAAAGCAACAGAAGTCATTGAATTTTTACAAAGTAATTCTCTCTCTGTCTCTGTCTCTGTGTGTCTGTGTGTCTGTGTGTTTGTGTGTCTGTGTGTGCGTGTGTGTGTGCGTGTGTGTGTGTGTGTGTGTGCGCGCGCGCGCGCGCGCGCTTGTGAGAATGTAATCGCATGTGTATGTGCGCATGTAGTCAACTGATCGTTGCGAGGATCCCGTGTACCGTCTGTATCGGACAGTAAGTTGCGTCGCGCCTGTCTATCTTCCCTACGCGTCATTCGCTCACTATTTCTCGTTATAATTTGAAAACTAAACTTTGGACAAAATTTTGTTAAAGAAAAAATTGTCTCAAAATTGAGTCAAGAATGTGACATTTTGGACAAACGTGTATTTTAAATCACCCTGTATATATATGTACATATTAATAATTTTATATATATATATATATATATAATATATGTGGATTATTTTTTCATATAGTCTCTTACCAGTAGGTTCGATTTTCTGCCACGTGTAAGTCTCTAGATCAAAAATATGAACGTCATTGAAATATTTATAATCATGTCGCAGATTGTCGTGGAATCCACCGAACACTATCAGCTGTTTCTTCACGTGCACCATTCTGTGTCCACTTCTGGATGATGGACCATTTGGAGTCCTAGAATCATATATGGAATATATGATAAAAATTTATAATATGTAAATGTGGGACAATATGATAACTCACTTGTGCATAGATTAATAAGAAAATCAAAGACATAACTTTAATGTATTTGATCTTTATATTTCGATTGTAAATTTCGAAATTTGTAACTCTTAACTTGGAACTCGTTGTCACACTCTTAATTTAACGATGGCATAATTCTTTTAATGACTCTATTCACGACTCTTGTCATTGATTCATTCCGTGACTCGACATTCCTCAATTCTTTATCGACAACTCTCTCCGACGCTTACGGTCTCTCAGTTCCTTTGATCGAGACTCCAGAATGCGTGGTTTTCTTAATTAGCCATTAAAGAAGCTCAGATAAACTAAACATAAACCAATTCCGGCTTTCTCGATTAGTTCCAAGAAATTCTCGATACATATCATACGATAAAGTTACGCGTCGACGTCGCATCGCTAGAAAATGCGTACATCTTATTCATATCCCACATAAATGTATATTTCGTATATATTTGCGCGCGCATGTATACAGAGTGTTCGGTACTCAATGGTAAAGCGCTCGTGGGCAGTGTGGACTAAACTAAGTAGAAAAGTCCACTACCATTCTGCAATCTTTGCAATAGTTATCAAGATATTAATTTGTAAAGATCGCCGAATATGAACGCGCGGCGAGATACAGCCGCCCACCGCAAACCGCAGTTGCCTAGCGCATAGCGTATGGTGAGGATAATTGTTTTAACCATATTAATATTTAATACTAATCACGCGGTGCGAGGTGGGGATAATTGATTGCCGATAGATTTATAAGATAGACTGCGCGTACCAAATCCGTATTAAATCGCTTGATACGGTTGGTGCAAACGTTCGCGAATTATTTTAGTACGGTTTGGTCTGATACTCCTGAATCGCTAGACCAAAATAGTACGCGTATCAAGAGATGACACACTGTAAATACTTAGTTCGTTTTCAATCAAATTAAATACGTCACTGCTGTATTAGGTTGAAGTTGCTTTAAGATTAAAATTAGACTTAAAAGGTTTGAGAAATAAAAAACCTATCATAACCTACTCGTATTTCGAAATAAATCGGTGTAAACAGTGTCGTATCAAGTACTTAGTCCGCACCAATGATCTGATACTCGTATCAATTAATTTAAAGGTGTAAACTAGGCCTTTGAAGTTGAGGGAGCCAACATCAAGAGAGAGAGAGAGAGAGAGAGGCAATAGAAGTAGTCTTGTTTCCTTATTCAATTGTGCAATTGGTGGGGAGGAGGAAGAAGGAAGAGCAGCCAGGCTGCTACTAATGACCTTGTTAAAACAATTACATGAACAATTAATTGAACAAGGAAAATACGACTACTGCTATTGCTGTCTCTCTCTCTCTCTCTCTCGATGTTGGTCTCACGACTTCAATGGGAGCGCGCAGTCTATCTTATAACTTATAAGTCTGTATGATTGCCTAGCGCGCGGCAATCAATTACCTTCACCACGTGCTGCGCGCTAGGCGCAGTCCGCAGTGGGCGGTCGTATTTCGCCGCGCATTCACATTCGGCGATCTTTATAAATTAATATCTCGATAACTATTGCGAAGATCGCAAAATGGTACAACTTTTCGATTCAGTTTAGCCCACTCTACCTGCCCACAAGCGCTTTACCATTGAATATCGGATAACCTGTATATTGCATATTACGTATGTGTATACACATATTCGAGCTCAACAGTCGGCTCTGATCGGTTCGCTGACTGCACGGGATTCGCGCGTATCGCTTCGTCTTATACACGTGTTCGCTCGCCAGTAAACAACAAGATTGTATCCTTGCGATGTACCGTCTTTCTCGTGCCGGATTTATCTTGCACGCGCATAATGCGTGTGCTTCGTATGTTTATAGACTTATAACGCATAAATCCTAGTGTGTTTATCTAATTCAAGTACATAATGCAAGAGACTTTGATCTCTTGCACGAGGGTCGATGGAGAGGATGGCTTGGAACACATGAAATGCATAACAAAACATAAACACAGCATAAGATGGCTAGACCAATGAGAATCTTATGTAAATCACAGTATGGTGACTTTATGCTGGCTGTTCATTAGTTTAGCCGCCATATGCTATGCTTATGCTTTGATATGCATTTCATGTGCTCCGGCCCTATGAGTCAGGACCACTGAACTATAATACAACTGGAATAGGCGCAATCCACGATGTTCTTTGTAATGTACACGTTTTGTATTTAAAATTAAAACAGATAGATATTTGAAGAATTGGTGAAAGTGAGATAGAAAATTTTAAGTGTAGAAATGAAGATAGCTTGGGAATATACCGAGAAAGAAGGTTCCGAAATTATCGCTATCTTTTTTCTACGTATTTTCTGCGCATGTTCAGTCCTCTTGGCCATCCCAATCAAAAACTTATTGAGTTAAAACACAAATCTGGAGCGATTGTAAAATAAAACAATTTTTAATAATGGTAAAAATGTGTTGCATCTATGGATGTTCTCATCCATAAATGCAAAAAGATCCGAAAAAGATCCGAATACGGTTCGAAGGTTAAGCTATCGGCTATGAGATAAACGAACCTTTTAATATGACTATCGCACTCGACTATCTCTCTCGAAATGCTTACGCTTATTTCAGTTGTATTATAGTTCAATGGTCAGGACCTCGATCCTCCTCTCCCGCGGAGACTATCCTACCCTTTAGAGTTTTTCAACAGCTTTGAATCACGACTAAAAACGACCTGCAAAAAACAACAAGAATGCTTTTCAGAACAATTCGTCTTTTCTTTCAGAAGAGGCCAAAGCTATGTTGGAAGTTGACTCGGGGATTACATCGAAAGTAAGTACTCTGCGGTAAGTACTTGCAAACCCGTAACATGCTACGATAAAGTAAATATCATCAACTCGTAGAAAAAAACGAAAATATAGTCTTCGTTCAAAACTTATGAACAAGCTAGAAATCTTGTACCTAAAAAAAGTGACGAAAAGAAGAAAAGAAAGATGATGCATGCCTCAGGCAACACTTTGAATTCAAACGTATGCGCCTTTATGTTTGATCACCGAAGTAGTATATAGATTGCATATCAATAAATTTAATTCAATTTGTTTTGTATAAACAAATACTTATTACTTTATTCTTATATTTTATACTTACGTAATCTTTTCCCATTTCTTGTCAGTAAATCGAAATACCCATAAGTCCCGATAGTGATAGAATTGTGACTCGCTCGGACTGGTAAATTCGCCGCCAAATACCCACAATTCACCACCGTGATGTGTCGTGGCTACAGCCTGATGGCCACATCGCGGTGGTGGTGCTCCTGGTGCTTTTATCAGTATCCATTCTTGCTTATTTATATTATAAATAAACATATCGCCATATACGATTGTCTAAAGAAAACAATAAAATAATTTTGAATAATTTTTAGATTTTCATTTGTTTATAAATAACAATTTCTTTAAATTATATCTCGTGGTATTTGTGTATATACAGGGTGTCCCAAAAAAGTCGTATGTTCTTTCTGGTAGATTCTGGGGAGCATTCTAAAACGAAAACTCTTATACGAAAATGTCGATGCTATAATACTTTTTAAATTATAAACAATTAAAGTTCTCCAATTGTGGCGCCAGAAATTCGCGCGCTCAGGCATGGTACATCGCGCGCGTGATTGCGGGATGCCCTTGTCCATTGATTCACATTTAAATATTGACGTAATTAATGCGCTTATTGCAAAAATATCTAATTGCCAAAATTGAGTTTCTTATTTTAAAGCATTCATGATTTTATAAGTTAATAACGGTTTAAGTTTGAGAACTGAATTTTGACAATTAGGTTACTTTTGCGATAAGCGTCTCAATTTTTTATACAATGACAAAAAGATCGCTTTTAAGCTTTGTCTTATTTATTTGTGATTGTTTTTAATATTTTTTAAATATTTTTTTAATATTTTTAAGTTTTTTTAACAGTTTTTAATATTTTTAATAAATAAGACAAAGCTTAAAAGCGATTTCTTTGTCATTGTATAAAAAATTGAGACGCTTACAGCAAAAATAACCTAACTGCCAAAATTTGGTTTTCAAACTTAAAGCATTATTAACTTATAAAATCATTAATGTTTTCAAATAAGAAACTCAATTTCACTAATTAGATATTTTTGCGATAAGCGCATCAATTATGTCAATATTTAAATGTGAATCAATGGACAAGGACACTCCTTAATCGCGCGCGCAATGTACCATGTCTGAGCGCGCGAATTTCAGATGCCGTAATAGGATAACTTTAATCGTTAATTTGAAAAGTATTATAACCTCGACTTTTTATAAGATTTTTATAAGATTTCGTCTTAGAATGCTCCCCAGAATCTGTTAGTGAAAGGTAGAGACATTATAATAAGGGACTGGCCAATGTTCTAATTGGATAGAAAATGGCAAACATCTCACGTGACTCACATCTTAAGTGCCATCAAGTGTCATACAATTGTTCACCGGCACGTATATGAAACAATAAGTATATTATATTAACGTTTTAGTATTGTTAAATTTTCTGTCATGTTAAATAGTATTAATAAATTCTGCATAATTGAACGTTGTTAAAGGAGAAACAATTATCTGTAAGATATGATAGTAAACCATGGCTATGCATGCATCAGTCATCAAATAATATTTTATTGTTAATATCTTAAATATATATAATATTTTTACTCTACTACCTTAATATTTTATTCTACTTATACTTATTGGCCATTATTATTTTATTTTGATATAAGCGTATATCTATATTTATGTTGATATTTTATGTTCTTTATTACTAATTTGTGTATATGTTTATATCATTTATTATTTATAGTAAAGTACCCATTTATTACCTTTTTTAAATAAAAAGTAACGTTAAAATGCTTATTTGCTTTCATTTCCCGCATTTCTATTTCCCCTTCTTTCGCACTTTTAGTCATCATAGATTGGCTGCGCCATTCCGTATCCAGCCAATCAAAAATTGGCTCAACTTTGGCCAGTCTCTTATTATAGTGTCTAGTGAAAGGACATACGACTTTTTTGGGACACCCTGTAAATAGTAAGTGTGTATTCTCATAATCCAATTATTAGATTCCGTGTGAGGTTGCTGATCCCCCATCGAGCGCCTTCCCAGATGGCGGATTGGGAAATGCCCGCCAGCTTACCGGAGGATATCGGAGAAATAAAATATTCGGGTGGACCAAAATCAGCAATATCTTTAGATAATGGAGAAAATGTCTACGGATAATACTACTCCAAGTGGCAAACCAGGACATACCCAGGAAAATCCACCTCTGCGGAGGCTGGCCCCAAGGATTCCGGGGGGGGGGGGGCAACTATTGGGGAAGATTCTTCAATAAGAAATTTTGAGAATACAAAAGTCAAAGACATCAAAAATCCCTTTCAAAGAAAGCACAAAATTGAAGGAACTCCAATAAGAGAAAAAAGTAACTCTGTAAATATCGGCAGGATCGGACAACAAAGGAAAATAGAGATCATGATGCTCCAAAAATCAGATAATAATAATAACACAAATGAACAGTCATGTTTAGTACAAACTAAAGAAGCAGCCAAGATAAAAAAATTTGAAATCCCGCTAAATGCAGCACAAATTAAAATTAAAGAATTAAAATAAATAATAGCTTCGTTACAAATTAACAATACTGCAGTTAAACATATACGAAACTGATGAGAAGGAACTGGCAAGGGATTCGAACTGAATGGATTCGAGCGAGATAGGAGAAGCAAGAGGAAAAAAAGGTAATAATTACACCTCCATAGAATACTCAAACAGAACATAAACAGAACACTTCTCAGAGAAATATAAATTCAAACTTTAAGCTTCAAAAACCACCTTCCATTATTGTCAATGGTATTAAGGAATACTCGACTTTTTACAATGTATTTTCCCCTTTAGTAGGAAACAATGTCACAATTAAACTCATTAATAAAGAAATATTTAAAATCAACCTAACTAATAGCAAAGATTATAGAGATGTCACCAAAATGCTAACAGAAAAAAATACTCATGGCACACATACGAGAACTAGCAAACTCTACTGCTAAGGGTCATGGTAAAGAATTTACACAGCACTGCGATCCAGAAATAGTCTACTATCTTAATAGTTTACTATCTTATCGAACTATAAGCAATAAGTGCAGCTGATAAACTTAAATGGAAATCAAAAGAACCATTGGATATTTTATATAGTTTATTTTAACATTTGATGCTTTTACGAATATCGACAAGGTGTATGGAATTAATAAAATCCTGGGATCAAAAGTGACCATCGAACCAATTAAAAGACCAAATTCCACAGTGTAAGCGGTGTCAAACATATGGATACACTCCAAAATATTGCAGAAAAGATGCCAGATGCATTAAGCGTGCAGGACATCATTTGACAGTAGAGTGTAAAAAAGCTGATAATATCAAATCTAAGTGTATACATTGCGGCAAAGATTACCCAGCCAACTATCGAAGTTGCTTGGTAGCTAAAGAATTCCAAAAATTAAGAGAAAAGAAACAAAAACTCCAGCAGAAAATAGCACTAGCTTCACATTATTGAGTTATTATAGCAAATCAGGGAAACCAATCAGCAGAAATTCCGAGAAAAACTACATCTTGGTGGGCAATAGATAACTATTAGGGTCAGTGCTGTTTGGTTGGCTATTATTAGTGTTACAGCATTGGCTTGAATTTCCTGAGAGATAGATTAGAGCCCTAACCCTTCTTTATATAAGGCAGGAGAGTTAGAGCCCTAACCTTTCTTTATATTAGGCAGGAGGGTTAGAGCCCTAACCCTCCTGCCTCATATAAAGAAGCAGTTGAAAGCAAGTAAACACAAAATGATACTGACTCTAGCCTAAAAGAAAAAGAAAATTATATTCTAATACAAATTCTGGCTGAAATAAAAAGTTTGAAAGACTCCAATAGAAAAATGGAAAACCGGCTGGTAAAACTGGAAAATAAAAGACGTCAAACATCTAATAAAAGTGGCTAACAATCTTAGAATTATGGAATTAAATGCTAATGAATTACTTCGTCACCAGCAAGAACTCCTAAATACTGAAAAAATTGAATTGTTTGTTTAATTTCGAAAACACACTTTACTAAACAGTCCTATATTATAATAAATTCAAAGATTATGAGGTATATCACACACTCCATCCAGATAACAAAGCTCGGGAACGAAAGTGCTATTATAATTTAAAAAAGTATTAAACACAAAGAAGCTAAATATATCTCTCAGGAAATTCAAGCCAATGCTGTAACACTAACAATAGCCAACCGAACAGCACTGATCCTAATAGCTATCTATTGCCCACCAAGATGTGCTATAAAAGCTGAACAGTATATAGAACTAATAAGCAACTATGGAAACAGGTTCATAATGGGTGATGATTTCATGCGAAATATTCATATTAGGGATCTAGACTTATAACGACTAAGGGACAAGAACTGTACAAAGCAGCTCAAATATGCGGATGTGAAGTTGTAACCACAAGCAAACTGACATACTAGCCAACAGATCCTGGAAAGGTGCCTGATCTCATCGACTTCTTCATAATTAAAAATATCTTCAAAAACTATCTGCAAATCGAAGAAATCTAGACCTAAGCTCTGATCACTCGCCAATTTATTTGACGATCAGTGACAAAGTGATTAAAAAAGGAAACAATCCTGTTCTAACTAACAAATTTACCGATTGGACTCATTTTAAACACTTGCTTAAAAATAGCATCGATCTGAATGTCCCATTAAAGATAATTAATTAGTTGGATACTGAAGTAGAAAAATTTACTCGTGATATACAAACTTCTGCATGGAATAGTACTCCTATAATACGAAGGAAAGTAGTAGGTATGAACTATTCTAAAGAAATAAGAGAATTGCTTGCTGTAAAAAGAAAACTGCGACGAAGGTGACACCAAACAAGAGCACCAAAAGATAAGGCAGCGTTCATTAAAATCACACAGCAATTAAGGAACAAAATTAAGGAAATAAAAAATGAGTCTATCAACAAGTTTTTGATGGAACTGACTGAAGACAAAACTACGAATTTCTCGCTATGGAAAACAACCAAATACCTAAAAAGATATTTTAAATTCTATATTATCTAATTCGTCAAAATAATTTATACGTTGTTTAAATTTCCTTCTTCAATGTTGTTCTTGATCATTTTTATCATCGGAGGATAAAAGCACAAAATTAAATAAATTTGCCATGTCTGAAAAATGTTAAGAACTGTAAGGAGATACAGTCCACGACTCTCTTGGATGGCAAAACAATGTATATATTTGGTACACTTAAGAGGATGAATGATTACAAATGCTGCTTTGAACGGACGATCGTCGCTTCGTTGTTCCTCGTTCCGCAGACTATTTCCTTCTGGGCGTTTCGCATGCCCTCGCGCGCCATGGCGTAGATAACTCAAGAATAAAACTAATAGCAAAGCGCTAAAGACGCTTATCGATGCTTATGTATTATTAAACTGTGTTTTTTAAAAGGAACCAATCGCAAGAGAAAATAAAAATATGAGAAACGTAAAACTCCTACAGAACTACTTTTTTCGTATCGAGAAGCTAGTTACATTCTTAATCGGATCGTTAAAAGTCTTTAAACAGACAAAATTGACCGTTTAAATTGAACTCAGTTTACATAAATTTAAACTTGAAGACATCGTTGGTTGAAACCAATATTTTGCTAAACTTTGGTTAACCAAATGTCACTAGGGATTTTAACTCTTTAAACCGTGTTGGTAGAAACGGGCATGACTGGGAGAACTAATGGATTAGCCCGGATTAATACTCCCTAATACCAAATAAATCTAAACTGATCGTTAGTTCTCAATTAGTTCAGTAACATATATATGAGAAAAAAAATTAGATTATATATTAGATAAAAAAATTCAATATATATATTTGTTTTTTGTAATATGATATTTACCTGTCGACCATCGTGAAATTCACCACCAAGCATGATAAGTTCATCCTTAAAAGGATGTGCCGTCAAAGTGAAATTGACTCGTCTAAGTGGCGCATCCACTATCACTTCCTTAATACATTGTCTGCGAGCCTCTTCTTTTTCAATTTCAGCAACAACTTTTTCTATGTCATCCTAAAAACAAATAAAATGCAATAGTAATAAAAAGACTTTTAAATATAATTGATAAAGTACGTATACGTAGCTGTGTCATAAATTCTTCTGTTATTAAGAAAAATGAATTTATTTTATAACTAATTGTAAAATAAAAAGCAGCATATGGAATATATACTCATTTTATTAAACTGACAATTACAATATAAAACTAATCGAACTTGATTAGATGGCATGAGAGTAAGCGGTTGTGTGCAGAAGGATTAATGTACATTTTTAGGCATGTATAAAGTGTAAAATAAAGTTAGGAAACCTGTAAGAAGCGAATTAAGGATCTTTGTAAAGTTAGCACCTCATTTAAAAAAAAAAATTTTTTTCAATACAGTTTTGAATGCACCCCGAAGAGTTCTAGAATTCATGCATAAAATAAAAAATAGTTTCGACGAATTAAGTAAAAAATTCAATGATAAAAGTTTGGGGTGTCAATTTTACAAAAAACAAAACAAAAAATCAAGACATCTCCTCAACCGTAAATCCTACACCTTTAAGTACTAAGAACTTTCGTTAGAACTTTTGGAGTGCTACCCAAGACTGTCAACAAAACTACGTACCGGAAATCTTAAAAATTTTTTCGCTCTCGGATGTTAGAAATTTTGCGATCTGCGATACGAAAAATCGCGGTATCTCTACAATCGTTATCTAGAGTTTTGAGTAATAAAACTTTTGGTTAAAACTCTTTGGTGCTACGTAGAATTGTTGATAAAACTGCCGGAACTTTAAAAAATTTTTTCACTCTCGGGTGTTAGAAATTTTACGATCTGTGATACGAAAAATTGCAATATCTTTTCTTAACCATTAATTTTAGAGCTTTAAGTGATAAGAATTTGTTAGAACTCTTTGGGTGCTATCCAAAACTATCAACAGAATTGCTGGAGCTTTTAAAAATTTTTTAGGGTGAAAAAATGTTTAAAAGTTCCGGCAGTAATTCTGTCGACAGTTCTGAATAGCATCCGAAGAGTTCTAACGATAGTTTTTATCACTCAAAGCTGTAAAGTGAATATTAAAAAAGATATTGCGGTTTTTCGTATCACGGATTGCAAAATTTCTAACATCCGAGAGCAAAAAAATTTTTAAGAGCTCCGGCAGTTTTGTCGACAGTTCTGGGTAGCACCCAAAGAGTTCTAATCACTCAAAGCTTTAAAGTAAAGATTAAAAAAGATATCGTGATTTTTCGTTTATGGATCGAGAAAAGATTCTAACACCTAAAGGATAAAAAATTTTTGAATGTTCCAGCCATTCTGTCGACAGTTGTGGATAGCACCACAATAGTTCTAACAAAAGTTCTTAATACTCAAAACTCTAGGATTAACGGTTGAGAAAATATCTTAATTTTTCGTTTTGTTTTTTGTGAAGTTGGCACTCCAAACTTTTATCATTGAATTTTTTTACTTAATTTGCCAGAACTATTTTTAATTTTATGCAGGAACTCTTCGGGGTGCATTCAGAACTATATCGAAAAATTCATTTTTTTTTAAATAAGGCTGTTTTCACAGAGATAAATTAAGAAAAAAAATGCAGAAGCATTGGAGAAAAAAAAGATGTAGCATAAACAGGAAAGGTAGCTTATAGCAGTGAAGAGAACAGTAAGGCAAGGTAGGTTACGGCGTCGAAGGTATGCGGGAAGCACGAGCACAAGCGGGATCGATAAAGTAGGTAAGATGAAACAGGAAGGCAGACAAAAATTGGTTCTAGAATAAAGAGACAATGGTAAAAGAAATATATTTAAGTTAGAGGAAATAAAGGGTATGACAAGGAATTAGAAGGTGGGAAAAAGAAGACAGAAGAGCAGATTAGAAAAAAATAGAAGAAAGTGAAAGATTTTTTTGAGATATAAAAATCAAGGAAAGAGTGTGAAAAGAAAAAATTAGAGTGATAGGAGAGAAATTGTATTTGAATTAGAAGGAAAAAAATAGAAAGTATGGGAGAGATGAAAATCATGAGTTGAGACAGCAGAAGGAAGGGATTCTAGTGGAAATGAGAACTGAAGTGCAGTGAATAGTGTAATGATAGAAGTAAATTTACTAAAGGAAAAAGTAGTTTATACATCGGGATCAAGAAGCAGCGAAGACAGATTAAGTAACAGAGAAGTAGGCAAGATAAAAAATAAAAAGCAATAAAGGGAAGAAAAGAGAGAAAATGTAATGTAGGAATTAAGGAACACTATCAAAAAAATAAAGAAAAAAATATAGGAGGGAATCAAATATAGACACAGGATTTCATTAAAGAAAAACTAGAGATAATTAATAGTAGGCTGAGTAGACTGGTTATAATAACTACAATTAAAACTGAGAAAAAACGAGGAAAGTAATGAGAAATAAATATAAAATAAAAATAACATTTTTATTAAAAATGATTTAAGTTGCAAAGAAAGAAAAATTCAGGAAAATATAAATAAATGGAAAAAAAAGAAAA